GTTCGCCAACCCGCGAATCCTCTTAGCTCCCGGCGATATGCAACACTCGCGAGGTCGCTGCAGGTATGTTCGCCAGACCGCGGGTGCCTGCTATCTCGACAATGGGTTGTGCGGCTTCCTCGACAACGGACACATACAATGTGGGCGATGGACGAGACACCTCTCAAATTTGAATTTGCACTTTTAGACTTCATCATATATAGATTCCCATTTCCCCCTCTAAAAGGATCCTAAGTAAACCTCTTCTCCAATTCAATTGTATCATCTTTATCCTCCAATTCCCCCTTAAATTCTCTACTTTCCAATTCCACTATTTTCTTTTTTCTCCAAGGAATGGTTGCATTTAAAACGAATTATTGTGAAAAAACGAATTTTACCTCTTTGTCGATAACGTCCACAAACGAGCATTTGTTAAATTTGGACTGAGCTTCTCGGGCGATATCCATGTAAAAGGTGATCGCTCATTTCTCCAACAACCAATGAAAGTAACTCGGTCATCTTTCACGTCGATAGGAACATTCGTCCTCTCCATAAACCGTCGGCCTAGCAAAATAGTGTGCTCGCTCCCATTATCCGAAATCTCACCCAACATTAAGGACAACAATGTCCGTCAACACCACAATAATAGTCCCAAGCTTAACCAATACATCCTCGATAATGTCATTTGGATATTCAATATTTATGATTGAACATTGATATTTACACAACTTAACAAATTCGATTCATGTAACTTGATCTTAAAATTTAGACAATATTCCTAAGTAATAGAGATATGATTGGAAAATGTAAACACTGTGCAAGTGAATCAAGAGTGGTGTTCGGAGCATATCCCGTCTGTCAAGCAAAGCAAAGGCTCGAGTCGAGTTAAATGCCGAAAGACGGATAGTGGTCTTGTCCGAATTGACAGGAATATCTTTCCACAATATTCTAAATAAAATATAATATCCTCAACCTATCTAAATCATCTATTACTCCCTATAGAAAGCTGCAATCATTTTTCCACTGACTATAAATTGTGGGAACTTGTTCTAGTTTTGCTTCTCATTACTACCAACCAATCAACATTTCATAG